TAAATCCGAAATATTCATCCAAACTATAAAGTACAGGTTTTTGACGTTTTCGACATTTTACACAAAGGGTAAAAAAATCGAATGAAGGAGCATCTAGTACCAATATATTAATTCTAGGACGTAAGTAGGGAATTTAATACCCACATATACCACTTAATGACTTTTATACATTTTTTACATATTATACATTGATGTCAAATACATATTTTTTTATTGGGTGTAAACTTGAAAATTCATCACATGAACGCATCCCTAGTGTCGTAAATCCGAAATCTTCATCCAAACTATAAAGTACAGGTTTTTGACGTTTTCGACATTTTATACAAAGGGTAAAAAAATCGAAGGATGGTGTAACTAGTACAAATATATAAATTTCCGAACATAAGTAGAGAATTTAATACCAATATATACCACCTTATGACTTTTATAAGTTTTTTACATATTATACATTGGTGTCAAATACATATTTTTAATGGGTGTAAACTTGAAAATTCATCACACGAATGCATTCCTAGTGTCGTAAATCGGAAATATTCATCTAAACTATAAATTACAGGTTTTTGACGTTTTTGACATTTTATAAATGGGGTAAAAAATCGAAGGATGGTGCATCTAGTACCAATGTATTAATTTCCGTACATAAGTAGCGGATTTAATACCCACAAATACCGCCTAATGACTTTTATACGTTTTTTACATATTATACATTGGTGTCAAATACATATTTTTAATGGGTGTAAATTCGAAAAATCATCCCTCTTACGAATTTCTAGTGTTGTAAATCCGAAATCTTCGTCCAAATTATAAAGTACAGGTTTTTGACGTTTTCGACATTTTATACAAAAGGTAAAAAATCGAAAGATGGAGCATCTAGTACCAATATATTAATTTCCGCACATAAGTAGAGAATTTAATACCAATATATACCACCTAATGACTTTTATACGTTTTTTACATATTATACATTGGTGTCAAATACATATTTTTAATTGGTGTAAAATTGAAAATTCATCACACGAATGCATTTCTGCTGTCGTAAATTTGAAATTTTCATTTAGAGTATTTTTTTACCGGTATTTGACATTTTCGACGTTTTATACATGAGGTAAAAAATTGACCAACCACTACCAATCTTCCAATTTCCGAGCATTTCTAATAAATTAATGAATAACTTTATGAATTAATGACCAAATGTACCTGGATATGACATTTATACGTTTTTTACATTTTATACATTAATGTCATTTACATATTTTTAGTGGGTGTAAACTTGAGAAATCACCAAACCAACCCATTAAATGCATTTTCTTGACATTTACACAAAGTTTTGTTGTCAAAAACCCCAATACCCTTGTCGAAAATCAAGTTTCCATCCCCATTTTCGCCATATTTGCTAGTGTTGGTATCCTTGCCCGAGTCTTTTCCTAGGATTTGCTTTGTAATTATTTGCCTATCAATTTTTGAGCTTTATGCGTTATTGTTTACCCATCGATTTTAGCTGAGATTTTTAGTGCTGCCTGAATGCTTGCTTGCCGATTTGCTTGCTTTCTGGCTGGCTGGGCAAATAGAGCATAACCTACAAAGAAGATGATGACTCAGGCGCTGGCTAGCAAAACGTAAAGAGGGATGGAGCAAACAAAGAAGTGAAAACCAAAAAAACATTTAATAGATTTTTTATATTTTATTTATGTTTGCTTATTGGGGATTTTTATGCGTTTGCTTTTTCTTTTTGGCGCAGAATGGCCAATGATGCAATCTTCTTAGGATTCCATGGAAGACAATGGGCAATTTTATAAAGAGTGACACAATGGGGGTTGCAAATTCAAGACTTTGCAAAAAATTGTTTTTTTTGGGGGAAGAAAGTTCCCAGAAATCAATTTGAAATGCCATGCAATTCTCCACCTCCTCCCTTCCCCTTCAAATTTACCCACAACCGTTCCTAGAAAATTCTTAGGAAAAAAAAAGACAACAACAAAATCTGCAAGGAAACAATTGACAAGAAGACCGTTCAAAAAAAAAAATCATAAATGACAATCATAAAATATTTAAATGGGGTTCATCATAGTTCCCATCATCGTCATCATCCGAATGGCAGCATTGACAGACAGACGTACAAAAATCTACTTGACTGTAAACGGAAGATAGATGGGACAGGCATCGCAAATTTTCTTCTGCGAACAAGTCGTCCAGTCCATACTTTTTTTTCTTTTTCTCCATCTTCCGTTTGATTAAACGCTTGCCACTCAATTATTGTTGGCCATTGTTGTTGTTGTTGTCTTTTGTCTAACATACATCGAATTTTTATTTGAATAAATTACAATTGGCCAAGTCGAAAATTTTGACGCATGGCACATGTCCCTCCATGCCATAGCAAAACGTCCAACCGACCATATGGTCCAAGGAAATGCTCTAATTAAGTTTGATGATGTAACAAAAGCTTCAATCACCATGAAGATTGAAGGCGGCAGCGGCAATCATAAGGAGGGACATCATTGTTTACAAAAAAGACAAAAAAAAAAAAAACAACAACAACAATGGGAAAGGGAGAAATGAATCAAGATTTTTCGTCGGAAGTCTTTAAAAGGAGGATTTTATTTTCTTAAATGAAAAAAAATTAAGAACTTTAAGAAGTGATGAGGGAATAATGATAGCTCCAAGAGGGAGGGTAAAACAGCAATGCAAGAGAAACCTTTAGATTTTATTTTTTTTAGAAAAGGTTGCATTGGAATTATGGAACGGCTCCATGCATTGAAGATTTCAAATGGTCTTCTCTGGAATACCCCATGAGTTTTTATTTGGAAAAACTCAAAATATGTTCTACGAAAAATCTTACAACGTTCTGCTAGGAACTTCCGCGGAAGACTCTAAAAGGTTATCTGTGAAATACCTCAAAAGATCTTCTAGAGTGGATCTCGAAAGGTATTCCTTAAGAAGCCAAGGCCTGAAAGACGTAAAAGGACCTTCTTCGGAAGATCACACAGGTCTTCTATGAAAGATTTAAAAAAACCAAAAGAGATCTTCTTAAAAGACTCTTAACCGTCTTATCAGGATGTTCTGTGAAGGACAGTATTTGCAATGGAGTACCTCATAAGTTTTCCTATTGAGGTCTTCAAAAGGCCTTCTGAAAAGACCTCCAATGGGCTTTCGTCGGAGACCAAAAAAGGTCCTTCAAAGGACCTTCTATGAGGTCTATTCTAGAGGAGACCTCAAATGATCTTTAATGAAATATCTCTAAAGGGTTTCAGTGCAGGACCTCAAATGATCTTCCATAAAAGACCAAAAGAGGTCGTCTAAAAAAGATCCTAAATATTATTTTCAGGATGTACTGTGAAAGAAAGAATTTGCAATGGAGGACCACAAAAGTTTTCCGAAGGAGGACTTCAGTAGGCCTTCTGACAAGATCATTAATGGGCTTTCGTGGAAAACCGAAAAGTGACTTACAAAGACCTTCTATGGAAGACAAGACTTCGTTGGTTTAAGACCTCTAACGATCTTCTGTTGAAGACCCTAAAAAGTTTTCTGTGGTCTTCAAGTTTTTTAAAGGTCTTCAATGATTTCCATAAAGACTTCGAAAGGTCCTTTATAGAAATCTTAAAAAAGATCTTCTGTGAAAAATCCCTATAGGTCCTCATTGTTGAAGACCCTCAAAAGGATTTCTAGTGGAGAACTCAAAATGGAAAACCTTAAAACGTCATTAAGAGAACCTCCAAAAGGCCATCAGTGGAAGTCCCCGAAATAATTCAATCAAAATCCCCAAAGGTCTTCTATGAAGGAGCTTTAAAAAGTCCTCAAGGGAAGACCTAATAAGACCTTCTTCCAAAGAGGACCTCAAGAGATCTTCTATAGAGGACCTCAAGAGGTCTTCTATAGAGGAACTCAAAAGTTCTTCTATAGAGGATCTCAAAAGGTCTTCTATAGAGGACCACAAAAGGTCTTCTATAGAGCACCACAAAAGGTCTTCTATAGAGGACCACAAAAGGTCTTCTATAGAGGACCACAAAAGGTCTTCTATAGAGGACCACAAAAGGTCTTCTATAGAGGACCACAAAAGGTCTTCTATAGAGGACCTCAAAAGGTCTTCTATAGAGGACCTCAAAAGGTCTTCTATAGAGGACCTCAAAAGGTCTTCTATAGAGGACCTCAAAAGGTCTGCTATAGAGGACCTAGAGCATCTTCTATCAAAAACCTCAGAGTCTTCTATTAAAGAACCGTAAATAGCATTTATCTTCAATGGAAGACCTTTAAACGATTTCTATTGCGGACCTAAAAGGAACTCTATGGAAGGCCCCGAAATACACTTTTGGGTACTTTTTTTTTTTTTTTTTTTTTTTAGACCTTAAAAGGTCTTAAACATTTTGTGGATATAATGTATGTGGCAGCCCTCAAAATATTTTCTAAAGACTACCCTAGAAGACCTTTTTTGAAGAACCTGGCAGGGGTTTCTGAAGGCATCTCAAATGAAATTTATTGAAGACCTAAACGGTCTTCTTTTGAATACCCAAAGACCTTATTTAAAAGGCCCCGAAAGGTCTTCTTTTAGAGACCGCTAAAGGCTCTTTTGGAAGGTCCCTTGGAAGACTTTTTAAGGTGATGCCCAATTTTATAAATTGTCTCTTAAAGTTAAAAAAAAGTTTTTCCCAAAAAAGGTCTCAAACATTTCGTGGATTTAAGATATTTGATTGCCCTCAAAATATTTTTTATAGACGATTCTGGAAAACCTTTTATTAAAGACCCTGGAAGAATCTTCATTGGGGACATTATAGGGAGTTATGTGGATATATCTGAGGGCATCTCAGATGACATTTATTGCAGACCTTAAACGTTCTTCTTTTGAAGACCCAAAAACCTTATTTAAAGGACCCTAAAAGGTCTTATTTTTTGAGACCCCTAAGACACTTTTTTGAAGTCCTCTATATAAGACTCCTTAGGGTCCTATTCAATTTTTTTTTAAATTTTCTCTTATAGTCAAAAAATGGTTTCCCAAAAAAGCTGTAACTTACCTCTCTTCACAGCTGGTGCCACATCAAAACCTTCGGTATTGACAATCTGTGTCTCATCTGGGCAGGGTATGCAATCGGCTGATTTTTGTATCTGGGGTCCCGAACACTCGGCACCGCCATTCATGGGTAGAGGATTATTGCACATACGAGTACGTTTGCGACCCTGGGCCGGTTTTCCGGGGCATTTGCAGTCACGCCATGAACTCCAGGAACTCCAACCGCCATTAACTAGGGATGAAGGAAAGAAATGGGAGAATTTGATTAATAAAAAAAGAATAACAAGGAAAGGGAGTCAGGATTCGTTTCCCTTTCAAAAAAATTGAATATTCCAAAAAAAAAAACTTACCATAAACAATTAGTACCGCCGAATCTGAGTTACGTTTACCGGCAATATTCTCGGCTACACAGGTATAGTTGGCCATGTCCTGGAGGGAGAAGGATTTAAACAGAAAACAAAATAAAAAAGTTAATAAATAGAACTGTCGCAACATAAGTTCCGATAAAGAGCTTCTAGGATTTTTTAGTGTCTTTTAAATCGTTTAATAAATAAGGCTTATATGACCTCTAATGAAGGTCCAGCAGGGTCCCCGTTTGGAATCCTTATTTACTTATTTATGTTTGAGCAATTCTAATCTGAAGACTTTAAGATTCTCTACTAAACATTATAAAAGCTGTTTTTAAATTCCTCCTTTAGTCCTTAAATAATGAAGTCTCATGGAAGTTACAATGAAGATACCACAAAAAATCCATTAGAAGTCCTTAAGTGGAGATTTTTTCAGTATTTTTATCATGAATATTTAAGAGCCTTTTATGAAAAACTTTTTCACTTTTCTAATGAAGACCCTTAAAAGTGTGCCAGTGAAGGTCATTGAAGGACTTCTAATAAAGATATCCATACAATCTGTCAAGGACTTCGAAAAATATCTGTAGCTTTCCTTTAGGAGTCCTTAATGAAATTATTCTTTAATTTTCCAATGAAGACCCTTAAAAGTGTGCTATTGACAGCCAAAAAAGGACTTCTAGTCAAGACACCCAAAAAATATTTTAAGGTATTTGAAAAATATTTAAGCTTTCTTTCTTATTTTGACTATAAATCTTCTTTCAGATTTTAATAGAGGTACTTAAAGGGATAATTAATATTTTTTGTAAAGATTCTCAAACTCAAACAGGACATAAAAAGAAAAAATAACATTTGAATTAAGAAAAAAGTTTCAAATTACATCTTCATTCAATGTCCTTTTAAAAATTAAAATAAAACCTTGAAATCCTAGACGATGTAAATTTAATTAAGAAAATCTTCAAAATGTTGTGATTTTTAATTAAAAAACATTTTTTTTTTTTCAAAACCAAATACAAAACAAAAAAAATCCTTGAATCTGATCTTCCATTTATACCATGACTCTGGCTGACTGGCCTGTCCCGACTTACCTGCAGTGTAACTTGACGAAAGGTCAATGTGCCCGTCGCCGAGACTGTGGGTCCAATGTCCTTGTTTTCCGTTATGGGCACATTATTTTTATACCAACTGACAGTGGGTTCCGGAAAGCCGCTCGGCGGTTCACAATACAATTCGGCACGAGTGCCCACCTCCACACGCAATGAGGTGGGTGATGTGACAAATTGCTTGCGCATATCTGTGGAAAAGGATAATTACATGAACATGGGAAAAATGAGGATACAACGCATTATAGAAAAAGAGCGGGGGTGGGAGAGGAGCATAACACGCTGCGAAAATGACAATTAGATGGCAGGGATGGCAAATTGTGAATTCTAAAAAAAAACGAGCAGCGATAGAAGATTTTCTCTCAATAGAAGACCTCTACCTCTTCCTTCCAAAAAAGACTACTAGGTCTCATTTCCCAAGAAGACTTCTAGGTCCTCTTCTTAAAGAAGACATCTACGACTTATTTCCAAAGAAGACATATAGGACTTCTTTCCAAAGAAGATATCTAGGTCTTTTTTTCGAAGAAAACATCTAGGTCTTTTTTTCGAAGAGACATCCAGGACTTCTTTTAATAGAATACCTCTAGGTCTTTTCGAATAAAATACCTATTGGGGTTTTTTGATTAGAAAACCTCTAGGCTTTCTTTCAATAGAACTTTGGGATTTTTCTCAATAGAAGACGTCTAGGGCTTTTTTTCAATAAAAGACATCTAGGTCTGTTTTCAATAGAAGATGACTAGGTCTTCTTTAAGTTAAAGACCTCTAGTTTTTTTTTTTTTTTTTAACAGAAGACTTCTAGATCATCTTTACATAAAAATCGTCAAAGTCTTCGCTCAATAGAAAACATCTATCAAGAGAAGATTTCTAGGCCTTCTTTCAAAAGAAGTGTCTATCTCAATAGAAGACGACTAGGTCTTCTTTAAGTGAAAGACCTCTAGATTTTCTTTTAACAGAAAACTTCTAGATGCTCTTTCAATAGAAAACCTGTTGATCTTCTTCGAATGAAGACCTCAAGGTCTTCTATTGGTAGAGAACTCGTATCAATAGAAGACCTCTAGGTATTCTCTTGAAAGAAGACCCGGAGGTCTAGGTCTTCCTTCAAGAGATAACCTCTGGGCTTTCTTTCAAGAGAAGACGTATCCAAGTTTTCTTCAAGGGAATACCTGTAAGTCTTCTTTTAATAGAAGACCCTTTAGTTGTTCCTTCAATAGAAGACCTCAAGGTCTTCCCTCAATAGAAGACCTCAAGATCTTCTTTAAAGAGAATACCTCTAGGCTTTCTTTTAACAGAAAAACTTTCGGTTATCTTTCAAGAGGAGACTTCTAGGTCTTCTTTAAACCGAAGAACTGTAGGTCTTTTTTCAAGAGAAGACCTCTCGGCCTTTTTTCAAGGGAAGACCTCTAGGTCTTTTAAATGAGAAAACCTGTAAGTCTTCATTTAATAGAAGACCCCTTAGTTGTTCCCTCAGTAGAAACCTGGAAGTCTTCTTTCAAAAGAAGACCTCTAGGCGTTTTATCAATAGAAGACCTGAAGGTCTTCTTTCAATAGAAAACCTCAAGGTCTTCTCTCAATAGAATATCCCAAGGTCTTCTCTCAATAAAAAACCTCAAGCTATTCTCTCAATAGAAGACCTCAAGGTCTTCTCTCAATAGAAAACCTCAAGGTCTTCTCTCAATAGAAGATCTCACGGTCTTCTCTCAATAGAAGACCCCAAGGTCTTATCTCAATAGAAGACCTCTCGGTCTTCTTTCAATAAAAAACCTTAATATTTTCTTACAATAGAAGACTTACAGTTTTCAAAGTTTTCTCTCAGTTCTACAGGTCCTTTTTAATAGAAAATCTTTAGAAGTTCTCCAATATAGATAATCGTTGGAAGGTCTTCTATTGCTAAAAGCCCTTATAATGAGGTCCTTTCTAGAATACCCATGAAAGGACTTATTTCCACAGAAGTCCTGCAGAAGGTCTTCTCACAATAGAAGAATTCTAAAAGGTCTTATAAGAATAGAGGACCTCTTTATAGCCTTTGACCTATTTTAGACCTATGAAACGCCTCTTCCGAATAAATTACTTACAAAAAAGCTTCTTTCTGAATGAGGACCTACAGAATCACTTTTCGCAATTGAAGACCTCTCTCTCGTCTTCTCAGAGAAGTAAATCTAGACGGTCTTCCTCATTTCCCATCCCTGCCATCCCGTGGGCAATGATGAAATTACAAATGACTTTAAAATTGATTTCATCAAAGATTGTCAGTGACAACTCCACGCTGAAGAGGGGAAGGACACATGCACGCACTGTCACACTGGGTGGCGTAGGCAGGCACGCACGCACACACTCGTTATCACATTCACAAGGAAATTTGTTATATTGAAACCAGGACGAAAAAAAAACAATGTACTTTTGATTGCTGGATTGGATTTTTTGGTATTTTGATTATCACCTCCCCCTCTCTCTCTCCTCTCCCCCTTATACACCTTAGAGCTTTTTTGCTTGATACTTACATGCTATGTTCACGGTGGCCGCCTGACTTTTTACAACACCCCTCGACGACCAGGCATGGCACTCACACTTGAATGGCCCCTTGCCAAAGTATTCATCCACCAGGTCACGGTGTATGGTTGCAGTCACTTCCTCCAGATGCACCCCCGTATGCGGATCCACGTGCTTGTCGTGCGTTGAGGGCGGGGGTTGTGAGCTGCCGCTACATTTAAAATGCAGCTGCGTAATTGAAAGCAAATAGAGGAAGGCAGTAGGAAGAAAAAACAACAAAAACAACAAAGTATAAGAGTTAATGAAAAACAAGGACACGTTGGTTTTACGTATTTCTCTTTTTTAAATAAACAAAAGAGGTAGTAATAAAAATAATAACAACTACAATAATAACAATTTGTTGTCATGTCCCATTTACCTGCAGGGCATGTGCTGCTTTGCATTTCAATATGGCTGGACGATTTTTAACCACATAAACGCTTTCCGGTTCAGTGAGGAAATAGGGCAACGTCACCCCCGTCTCGGAGGCACCCAGTTTGCCTGTTACAAATTCATCCAGGGTACCGGCAGCTATCACACTTTTATTGACATTACTTGCCGAGGACGATGAGGAGGACGAGGATGCCTCTCCTGAGTGTCCCAATACTCCACCGCCCAGGGACTCTTCATGGAACACGGGAGCCAATGCCGCCTTGCCTTGGCTAAAAACATCACTGCTATCGGGATAGGATGCATCCACATCCACCAGTTTATTCCAATGGGAATATTTACCCCCATTATCACCCGTTTTGCCCCGCAGCATATCGTGCTCTTCCCCACCATCAATCAGTTCATCACTGATATCTTCAAATTTACTAAAAACATCCTCCTCGTTGTCGGCCAACAGCAGTGGCGAATCCTTTGCTGGCAAACTGTTGACACAACAACAACACCACCACGCGCATATTAGCAGATACGTGATCAGGAAACGATATCTTCTTAGATTTGTTTTGCGATGCATTTTTGTGTCGTTGTGTTTGTTATTTTGTTTTTGTTGGCGGAAATGGGAGGAGCGGGAGTCCACTTTCTTCTTCGTTTGCTAAAATGGTTATGTTTTTGTTTTTGTAGGTATTGCGAGTATCCTTGTGTTTTGCTTTTATTGTTGCTGCCAGAGTTTTATTGTTGCTTTCTGGTTTAAATGCCTTGTTTTAAATTCAGTTTCGCTACGTTTTAATGGCCGAAACATGTGGGCAGTATTTTTTTTGGTTTTATTAAATGGTCCTTCGTTGTAAATTTAATGGGATTTCGTTTGTGGCTATTTTTTAGGAGACCTGAAAAGAGAGAGTGAGAGGGAAAATGAAATTTGTTACAAGTGTATAAAATAATTGCAATGGAAATTTGGGATTTAAAATTAAAATCATTAAAAAAGTTAAAGTTGTGCCCGTCTGAGACAAGAAACCCCTTGGATTTTCAAATAATTTTGAAATATGAAAAGCATTTAATTTTCTCAAAGGGAAATTCAATTTTTGATTATCCAACTTTTAGTTTTCAGGGATAATTTAAAAATTCTCAAAGAAATTTTAATGATAGAATCCGTTCTTAAATCCTGAAATCCATGATTTTTACGAATATCTTAAAAAATTAAAACCAATACTGGCATATTTTTTAAAAAAAAAAAAAAGAATTGTGAATAATACTCTAGAGTATTCAAGGACAATTTCGAAATATAATTCGAACTAGGGATTTTCTGAGGTACTTTACGATAAGCAAATTCGTGGATTATAACTCTAGAAGGTAGGTGGGGGTTTTCAATATGAAGAAGTAACAAGTAAAATAGTATCAGTCGGTTTTGCCGAAAAATGTATGGCCCCAGCCTTGAGTTATGATTATTCAAACTGTTGGGCCTTTGTGAGGGATGTTGGCGAATATTGACAAATTCGTATCTGACCTAAGACTGATATAAATATTACAAAATGTCAGATTTGGACTATATCGAGTACTTCCTTCACTTTATATGAAGAGACGTTGACCCTTTGTGGGGGAGGTACCAGAAAAAGTTGTTCGATCTCTACCATATTTATAACAGATCTAGAATTGATAGAAATATTGAGATGTGCCAAGTCTGAATGGAATCGGATATTAATTTGGAATTTTATGAGCTTCATGAATGTTCACAAATACTTGATAGAGTGGACCGATGTATATTTTTTTTGAAAATGTTGACCTTTTGTGGGTGAGGTACCAGAACTCCATATTTCGAGATTGGGAGGGCCCTAAAAAATTCTTTAAAAATCCTTGATAGTCCTTGAAAAATATTCATTAAAAAAATTTCGAGATTATAGCTCAGAAAATTCTTTATAAAATGTTCTGCAAAAATCCTTGAAAGTATTCCTTAAATATCCCAATATTAGGATTCAGAGGGTCCCTAGAACAATTCTTTAAAAATCCATGAAAAATATTCATTTAAAAAAATTTGTGATTACATGTCGGAAAAATCTTAAAAAATGTTCTGGAAAAATCCTTGATGGTCCTTGAAAAGTAATTTTTAAAAACACCTCAATGGTTCTTGCACAAATATTTAAAAAAAATCACAATTGCGGCCTTCATGATCCTTGGAGATTATTATTTATCCACGATTACAGCTCAGAATGAAAAATGTTAAAAATCCTTCAAGGCCCTTCACATTTTTATTTTAAATCTCGATGGTCTTTAAACAAATATTTAAAAAAAATCCACGATTGCGGCCTTAGTGGTCCTTGGAGATTATTATTATTCATCCCGATTACAATATAACAAAGCCATTTAAAATATTTTTTTTTTTAATTTTACGTTTACAATTCAGAAAGTGCTTGAAAAATGTTTTTTTAAAAATCCTTGATGGTCCTTCAACAGATATTTAAACAAATCACAATGGTTCCCCTGAGTGTCCTTGAAAAATATTCCTTACAAAATTCTTAATTATTTTTTGAAATATTTTTTTTTCAGATTCCAGATTATTGCTCAGACAGTCCTTAAAAAAATTATTTTAAAAAAATCGAAAATTAGTACCATTTTGGTTCTTGAAAATCCTTAATTAGAACATCGCAAATCTAAGATCCTTCTGGTTATTGAAGAAATTGGTTTTAAAGTAAAAAAAATAGTCTTTGAAATATATATGTAATAAAAATATAAATATCCTTAAAAAATCTCCGGTTTTTTTGGACCTTGTTTAAATATTTTCGGTCCTTAAAAAATATTTCTAAAGAAAACCACAACTATATCATAGATATCCATTGGAAAATCGTTTTCTTAATACCAGAACTGAATCATTTTCTTTGATATTCATACCGCCTGTGAAGATATCTCAAATCTGTTATGAATCTTGATCCTTGAAAAAAATATTTTTTAAAAATTTTCCTGTAATAATAATTTTGAAATATTTAATGTTACAAAAAATATTCCTTAATAAAATTCCCGACCTTTGTAGCCCTTGTATTTTTTTATAAATCCAAAACTGCAGCTCAAATATTCGTTGGTAATTTTTTTTTAATACCAGAATGGGATATTCATATTTCTTTGATTTTAGTGTTCATAACGCCTTTGAAGACATTTAAAATCTGTTATGAACATTGCCATTTATTCAGTGTCCTCTGGATCCTTGAAAAAAATATTCTTTAAAAAATTTCCTCAAATAATTTTGAAAAATGTAATATTAAAAAAATATTCTTTAATAAAATACCCGGCCTTTGAAGTCCTTGTAATTTTTTTTTCTTAAAAAAGAAATGTAAGGCTGCAACTCAAATATTCGTGGGAAAAATTATTTTGCTTAATACGAGAATAGGATATTGATATTTATTTGAAAAAACTAAACCACTGCCCCTTGAATCCTTGAAAAAAATATTCTTTAAAAAAATTCCTGAAATAATAAGTTTGAAAAATTTAATGTTGAAAAAATATTCTTTAATAAAATCCCCGGCCTTTAAAGTCCTTGTAATTTTTGTTTTCTTTAAAAAAATGCAAGGCTGCAATTCAAATATCTGTTGAAAAAATTATTTTTCTTAATACCAGAACTGGATATTGACATTTCTTTGATTTTCATATTGATAACGACTGTGAAGATATCTAAAATCTTTAATCCACGATTTTTTCTTACAATTATGAACCTTGCCGAAATATTTATTCCAAAATCAAAGTGTCCTTTGGATCCTTTAAAAAAAATCTTTAAAAAAAATAATATCAAATAATATTTTTGAAAATTTTAATGTTGAAAAGATAAATCCCCAGCCTTTGAAGTCCTTGTAATTTTAGTTTTCTTAAAAAAAATTCAAGGCTGCAGCTCAAAGATTCGTTGAAAAAATTATTTTTCTTAGTACCAGAACTGGATATTCATATTTCTTTGCTCTGATATTCAGATATCTCAAATCTGTAATCCACGATTTTTTCTTAAAATTATAAGCCTTGATAAAATATTTATTTCCAAAATCACAGTGTCCTTTGGATCCTTGAAAGAAATGTTCTTTGAAATTTCTTCTGTATAACATTTTCGAAAAATATGGAAAAAATATTCCTTATCAAAAGTCCTCGGCTTTTGAAGTCCCTTTAAAAAATTGTTTTGCCTTTAAAAAAATCCAAGACTCCAGTTCAAATATTCGTTGTAAAAATTATTTCTCCCAATTCCAAATTCTTGATATTCTTTTGCTTTGATATTCATACCGCCTGTGAAGATATCTCAAATCTGTATTTCCTGTATATTAGACAAAAATGTAAAACATATCTGCATACATATCTTAATTACCATTCTCAGCACTATCAGTTCCATGGAATTTAAGAAAAAAACTGAAAAAACAACCATACCGCTCTTTTTGATGGACAGAAGTTGTTGTGGTTTCCTCTTCTCTTCGACGATGAGGACACCTTTTGTAAACCGATGACTTAAAAATCCAAGCATGTATGAATCCATCAAAAAAAAAAAAAAAATAACAACAAAAACATTGTTTTAAATTTATTTCCCCACAACAAAACATACTCACACACATACACACACACACACTTCGGCATATTAGCCATACCGTTCGCATGATGATATTTTGCATACAAAACTAATGGGGATATTAAAACGCCTTTTTAGCCTTGGTCAATATGAACAACGATGACCAATCAAGCAGTCAGTCAGCCAGGCAGGCAAGTTGGCTAGCAAGCTAAGAAAAAAAACCTCCACAATCTTAGCCGTTTCTTCCATGGCCATCGACTATTCATTCTTAAGAAGAAACAAAAAAACAAAACGAAAATAAAAAAAAACATTGCAGACAACTTAACAAAAAAAAACAACAACAACCACAAAAGAAGCGACAAAAATTACAACAACTACCAAGTCATAAAAAATCGTTATCTACAACAGCATTTCCTGAATTTACCCAACGATGGCTGGCAATGGCGGCTTCTAAATGGAAACTGTTTTCAAACCACGACACGAAAAACAAACATTGTCAACTTGTTATAATCGCCAAAGTCGAATCAAATATTCACACACACACATTACATACATATCATACATATATATGTATGTAGTTACATGTAACTACTTACGAGACAAAGTTTCTTCAAATGATTGCAGAGACACAAAGCTCAAAGCCTCCCATATTTATTACCAATCGACTTGTAGTTCCAACACACACACACACACACACATAAGCATACTGAAACCCCCAACCTCCCTTCTTTAAATTTCTTCAAAGTTACTTACTTTGAAACTTAACATATCTGCATATCTTGGGGCTTAAGCCATCTTCGCCATGGCACCCCTAGCCAAGTAATTTCACTGCTTCGCATGGAGTTCTGTTCCCATTTGGAGTTGTTAAATAAATATCTGTTCATCCGTCCGTCTGTCTGTCTCTCTCACCAATTATCCCTGTATAATTCCTTCGAGTCGATATCATTTGCCTTAGTCGAGTATAAAACAAGCGGACAAAGTCGAAGAAGAATACGTTTTCGGTCAAAAGTAATTATGACCAACAAAAGCAAGTTGGACTTAATTCCATCTCCATTGCCATGGACATTTTAAGACTTTTCTTTGACGCTGGCAATTGCATTCGAGTCAATTGTCTTGGGTTAGGAGGTGGGTATGGTAAGGGATGGGAAAGGGAAAAATTATAAAATTATTTGCAAGCAAATGACCAAAAAATATGTATTCAAGTTATCCACTCGGGCTAAAGGCATTATCCGAGGTATTCAAAGAGGTTAAATCTATTATCCACTTTATCCAGATTACAGAAATCTATTATCTATACATCGAAATGGAAAAAAAGGTTTCATTTTTGTTTTTTTTTTTATCCAAATGGCATAAATGAATTAT